TTTTAAGGATTCAAGACCTCCATCCTCAAAGCTCATCTAAATGGTGGGTGACTCGTAAGAGCAGAATTTTCATTTTAAAGATCTAAAATGATGGCAGAGAAGTCAATTTTAGTTCAAAACTTAATTTTTCTCCTGTACTTCTAGCCATTCAGCATATATTTATTGAGCACATATTATGTTTCAGCAGTAGTTCTAGCAATGAACAAGGCAAAGGAAGGGACTTGAGCTCACAGAGTTTATATTCTTGGTGGGGGTAGAGGTGGGCGGGTATTAATTGTTAAGTTGAAACAGTGGTCTTGATCCTCAGACTTAACTCTGGCTGGTTCTTGTACATCTAAGCAGCCATTTTTCTCCAGAAACTAGTGATGATTTTGATTAATTGACCTGACAGTGCATGGCACATCATATTTACTTGGGAGGATTTAATAGCCCCAGAGACTCCCAAAGGAAACATGAAAATTTCCACATACTATTATCCTAATGGGATCAGAGTAAGAGAAAGTGCAAGCAAAGATTTAAAGTTCTCACAGGCAGAGGAGAGATTTAGGTCAGTTCTTAAATGCTGTTGAGTTTTTTTTTACCTGAATTCACATTAGACAAAAAAGTCAAGGCAACAAAAACTGAAAGCATGGAAGAAATACATTTTATAAAAATTTATTTTCTTCTTAGGGGGATGAGTAATTTGTTTCTTGAGTATATTATTTATAATTGAAAAAAGTACAAGTAGGGGCAAGTTTTTGGATAAATGGTGGTGGAAAATATTTTATATACTCAGGAATTTTACAGGGGAAGCAAATAACTAGTCTGGAATATTCTGTAGAGATGGTTCTCAAAGTGTCAGTCCAGGATCAATAAAATCAGCATCAGCCACCAGGGAATGTCTTAGAAATGTGACTTCTCAGAGCCAATTCCGTACCAACGAAATCAGAGGAAGGGACAGACATCTGAGTTTTAACAAGTTTATCCAGTGATTCTGATGCTCCAGAGGTTTGAGAACCACTGCCCTACAATTATGCACAAATTATTATCCTTTTAATTTGGTTCACATTTATTAAAGGTAGACACATGTAAGTTGTATTGGCTGCTTTTTAAGTTTAGCACGCAGTGCACAACATATTTCTTAGCAAGTTAATGTTGTTTGTTGTTCACTTGCTATGAGTCCGACTCTTTGCGACCCCATGGACTGCAGCTTGCAGTCAGCATGTTAATACTCCTGTAAATATTCCCATACTTAAAGAAAGCCTATTTTTCTTTCTTTCAGTTAGTGCTAAAATATCCTAAAATAAGATTTACATTAAATTAGACCATTTTATATTAAATTAGATAACATAATTGAAAAACCAAGCATAATGGCCAACATACAGTAGGGCATTATATAATTACTTTTTGCTTTTATGTACCAGAATTGGTTTTCTTTAATTTGTCATATATATTATTAATATACTTTCTTAATTTCACAGTATTTGAATGTGAATAAAATGTAGAAGTATTAAAATAATAGAAAACTTAGAATTATATTTATGAGTTCTTTTGTATGGGTACTTTTTTGGGGCAAATTATAGCTTATTCTGAAGTTGAATGAAATTTAAAATTTCCATAGGGCAGAATTAAGTTTCAGCTCAAGAGAAAAGAAAATTGGTATTGTGGGAGATACTGCATTTTTTTTTCTTTTTTTTTTTTTTTCAATTTATTTTTATTAGTTGGAGGCTAATTACTTTACATCATTGCAGTAGTTTTTGTCATACATTGAAATGAATTAGCCATGGATTTACATGTATTCCCCATCCCGGTCCCCCCTCCCACCTCCCTCTCCATCCGATCCCTCTGGGTCTTCCCAGTCCACCAGGCCCGAGCACTTGTTTCATGCACCCAACCCGGGCTGGTGATCTGTTTCACCCTAGATAATATACATGTTTCGATGCTGTTCTCTTGAAACATCCCACCCTCGCCTTCTCCCAGAGTCCACAAGTCTGTTCTATATTTCTGAGTCTCTTTTTCTGTTTTGCATATAGGGTTATCATTACCATCTTTCTAAATTCCATATGTATGTGTTAGTATACTGTAATGGTCTTTATCTTTCTGGCTTACTTCGCTCTGTATAATGGGCTCCAGTTTCATCCATCTCATTAGAACTGATTCAAATGAATTCTTTTTAATGGCTGAGTAATATTCCATGGTGTATATGTACCACAGCTTCCTCATCCATTCGTCTGCTGATGGGCATCTGGGTTGCTTCCATGTCCTGGCTATTATAAACAGTGCTGCGATGAACATTGGGGTGCACGTGTCTCTTTCAGATCTGGTTTCCTTGGTGTGTATGCCCAGAAGTGGGATTGCTGGGTCATATGGCAGTTCTATTTCCAGCTTTTTAAGAAATCTCCACACTGTTTTCCATAGCGGCTATACTAATTTGCATTCCCACCAACAGTGTAAGAGGGTTCCCTTTTCTCCACACCCTCTCCAGCATTTATTGCTTATAGACTTTTGGAGAGCAGCCATCCTGACTGGCGTGTAATGGTACCTCATTGTGGTTTTGATTTGCATTTCTCTGATAATGAGTGATGTTGAGCATCTTTTCATGTGGTTGTTAGCCATCTGTATGTCTTCCTTGGAGAAATGTCTGTTGAGTTCTTTGGCCCATTTTTTGATTGGGTCATTTATTTTTCTGGAGTTGAGCTGGAGGAGTTGCTTGTATATTTTTGAGATTAATCCTTTGTCTGTTGCTTCGTTTGCTATTATTTTCTCCCAATCTGAGGGCTGTCTTTTCACCTTGCTTATAGTTTCCTTTGTTGTGCAAAAGCTTTTAAGTTTCATTAGGTCCCATTTGTTTATTTTTGCTTTTATTTCTAAAATTCTGGGATGTGGGTCATAGAGGATCCTGCTGTGATTTATGTCAGAGAGTGTTTTGCCTATGTTCTCCTCTAGGAGTTTTATAGTTTCTGGTCTTACATTTAGATCTTTAATCCATTTTGAGTTTATTTTTGTGTATGGTGAGATACTGCATTTTAGGATCGCTTCTAGCGCCCCTTGCATTTCCCCAAGTCCTCCGGCCTGAGGGGGCAAGTGAATTACCTTGACACTGTGTATGTCTGCTCAGTCATGTCCAGCTGTTTGCAACTCCATGAACTGTAGCCCGCCAGGCTCCTCTGTCTATGGAATTTTCCAGTCTAGAATACTGGAGTGGGTTGCCATTTCCTTCTCCAGGGAATCTTCCCAACCCAGGAATCAATTCCATGTCTTTTTCATCTCCTGCGTTGGCAGGTGGATTCTTTACCACTGTGCCACCTGGGAAGCCCACTAGTAATCTACAATTTTCTGGCTGGCAGCCTACGTAGGCCGCTTCCCCAGAGGATCCCCCAGTTGTTTGGGGAGTTTTCTGAGCGCATTTGGATATGTTCCGGAGCACGGTGGCTCCAGCTCCTGCGCTGTGCTCAGAGTTGATGGCCTGACAGCCTCTGCCCCTGCCCGGAGCTCCAGGCCTCTGAGAGAGGAACTGCTCTCCTGGTGAGAATCCTTGTGTGATGCGTTCTCAAACTGCAGCACCTGCTGTTGGCCAACAGGTGCTTGGTTACTGTTACATGTCACACACACCAAACTGCATCACGAATGCGAATTTCTACTTAATTTCCCAGCTCCCCTCCTCTTTCTTAGGCACCTGCATTCTCAGTTTGGAAGGTCTTCTTCCCTGAGCGTGCTCATACACAGGCAAATTCAAGCTTTGGTAGTGGGGGCTGCAGCAAGGCTGGCTCCAGGGCCATGTGACCGATTCAGTCCCCCAGGGCCCCCTGTGCAGAGAAGGGCCCTGTGTTTAGCTTTAGGCTCCGTTGTTGCCGTCTTGAAATTCATGAATAACTTTCGAACGCAGGGTCCTGCATTTTCATTTTTGCACTGTGTTCCTCAAGTTAGAGTACTGGTATCACTCTATTTTTTTTTTTTTTAACTTGGCTGGTGGATTGCTTACTGGTTTATCCACTAAGTCTCTCAGTCATATCCGATTTTTTGTGACCCCATGGGCTGTATAGGTTGCCAGGCTCCTCTCTCCATGGGATTCCCCAGGCAAGAATACTGGACTGGGTTGCCATTCCCTTCTCCAGGGGACCTTCCTGACCCAGGGATCGAACCCATCTTCTGCACTACAGGCAGATTCTTTACCATCAGTTTATGCCTCAAATGAGGCAGCAGTTCTGAGCAGCTGCCTATCCATTCAGCAGAGATCCAGACTCTGAATCTCTGTTTAGAAATAATTCACTAGACTATGTCTCCTTCCTGCGTCTGTTCTTGAGACTTACATTAACAATATCTAAACTCCCCTTAAAGCACTTCCTAATATCTGGTAATGAGATAGTAAATTTAACATGGTTTTTCTTATAAGGAGTGGTACAGTCCACCAATTTATAGGAATCCCGTGATAGTTTACCGTTATTGCTTTTTTGGATACAAAGTCAGTTTTGGAATATTTATTTTTAAAAATCACTCTTTAACAAATTTTCTCCTGGTCTAAGAGCTGGTGAAAATTTATCAGGAACCAAATTAAATGTGATTCATTTATTGGACAAGAACCGAGTATCCGTTAAATGCTAAGGGTGAGGGCCAGAAAAAATGGAGGAGGCCTATCCTTGCTTTTTGAGAGCTCGTAATGGACTTAGAATGACAGATGCAGAGAGCAATTATTTCTGCCTAGGGGAGCCTGGAATGGGGTTGGGGAAGAGATTAAATACTATTTAATGTAACCCTCCAAGGAGGGACTTGGTGTCTATGGGAGGACTTTGGCAGTGTACTTTAGGTTAGGATTTGAGTCATTATATCTTGGTCAGACTTTTTTTTCCTCCCCATGTGTTGGCCCCATCAAGCAGCTTTCAGGATCTCAGTTGCCTGACCAGGGATCAAACCCAGGCCCTGGCAGTGACCGTCCAGAATCCTAACCATTAGGCTAGCAGGGAACTCCCCCGACTTGTTTGTTGACGCACATTAGATCACTTCTTTTTTCCTGTGCTTTTTAGCCTCGGCCCCCCAATCAGATGAAGGCTCTGACATCGACTCTGAACCAGACTTGCCCCTCAAGAGGAAACAGCGCCGGAGCCGCACCACCTTCACAGCCGAACAGCTTGAAGAGCTGGAGCGGGCTTTTGAGAGAACCCACTATCCTGACATTTACACCAGGGAGGAACTGGCCCAGAGGGCAAAGCTTACGGAGGCCCGAGTACAGGTACTGACATCCCAACATCCCATCCTGTGTAAACCCAGACAGGGAACAAGAGCATCTTCTTCTGTAAGGCATATTTCAAACTAAGAAGGTAAATATATTAGGAATGGTCCTTCACTGTGAATGGTCGCCTCTCACATTATAAAGCTCTCCCTTTCTGATTTCTTTCCTTTACGTTTTGCCTTGTCATGATAGCAATATCATGACCTCTTTTTCTTTTTATTTTCACTTGTGTGTCGTTTTACTGTGCTAACCAGTAAGTCAGAAAATGTCCTTTTCCCCTTAATAGTTTGGTAAGTCCAATTATTGATATGATGGCTATATTTGACTTCTTTTCTGTCACATTGTTTGATCCGAGTATTTTATATGTATAGGTGTGAAACTGTGATCTATTTAATTAGCTTTCTTTCCATTCTTAGTATATTTTGTATTTATGAACATGTATGTTCTTATTTTAGACTTTGGTTGTCATTATGAGGAGACTGTGTTAATAATTGTATCAAATGTAACAGAGAAGAATGTCAATTTGTGTTCCTCATGCATCATTTCAGGGATCCTTGTTATGTACCAGGGAAGGCATAGATTTTGGGGGTGGTACATGGACAACAACGAAGTTTTGAGTGGTGGTTGTGTGCCAGGCACTGTTCTAGATGCTTTGTATGGATTAACTCATTTACTTATCATTAAAACCCTAGGTTGGTACTGTGAATATCCCCAATTTATAGATGAAGGAAACTGAGACTCAGAGCATTTAAGTAACTACCCAAAGTCATGTAGCTAGTAAGTGATCATGGTAATTGGATTCCATATATTTCCTCTCCGTAGCTATTCAAACATGAAGAAGTGCAAAGTTGTATAAGGTAAAATCCTTTCCTTTAAGTCTAGAAGCTTTTCAAGTAGCTGTATTATTTTAAGAACATGTAAAATTGCCTTTTCAACTTAGAAGTGTTCTGAACCCTGGAGAAAGGCTACTTTGGTGTAATTTGTTTCTATTGAGTTATCAAATAATGTTTCATTATGAATGATGAACAGTCTCCCCAAGGTAGAAAAGCACTGCTGGAAAGATTACAGGTGCCTCAGGGTATCCTGGAATTCTTTACTGGCCCAGGAGTTGAAGTCACTTTATCCGGAAATGTCATGTTATTCCCAGATACTTGACTTTCATAGTCAGAGTGAGACTGAGGACTCAGCAGCAAACTAGGCAGTTGATGTGGTCTCTAGATTGATTGACACCTTCCCCTATGCATCTAACTATCTCTCCCATCACAGATTGTTCTGGAATAGCCTCTTATAGCCTGCAGAGCCAAGTCAGATTGCTTTTCTCAGCTTGACTTTCTGATTGTCACAGTGCTATGAAAGTCAAGGGACACTAAGATGAATGAAGACAAATTTCTCAAGGAACTAGTGTTACATGGGGTAATAAAGTAAACACACAAATAATTTGAAAGCAAAGCTGATATGATAAGTGTATTAGAGAGAAATGAAGTGCAGTGAGAGCTGAGAGGAGGAAAGGTGTGAGATTTTGTTGGGGTAAACAAGGGGGGCTCATGAAGAAAGGAGGGTTCAGATGGACTTTTTTTTCAGATGGACTTCTGGGTCTAGATAGATATTCATTGGGCAGGGCAGGTGGGAGAGCATTTTAGTAACACAGAATAATGAGCAGAAGCACAGAGTGCTGGATGCACATGAGTTACATGTCAGATGAACTTTCATTTTCACTCTAGTCATGTTGAAGAAACAGTGAATAGTTCAATTTGGTTAAATAGAGGGAGTGGTAGGGTGGCAGGAAGGAAGCTGATTGGAAATCTGTTTGCTTTCTTTGTATGCTGTTTTTGTTCTGTCACTAAGTCTTGTCTGACTCTTTGCAACCCCATGAACTAGAGCATGCCAGTTCTTCACTAGCTCCTGGAGTTTGCTTAAATTCACGTTCATTGAATCAGAGATGCCATCCAACCATCTCGCCCTCTGTCGTCCCCTTCTCCTCTTGCCTTCAATTTTTCCCAGCATCAGGGTCTTTTCTTAGTGTTTATTTTTTGGTACTTAGGAAATGTGCATTCTTACCTTCAGTTATCATTCTGGGTAGAATATGATTCTATCAGACATAACATATAGAGAGGTGTGTCAATTCTTGTTATTCAGTCATCACTTCAGGGATCCTTGTTATGTACCAGGCACTCTGTGGACTGTAGGAGTGGTGCATAAACAATAGTGAAATTTTGAGTGCTTACATACATTTGGTGGAGAGCTTGGGCTTCAGGCAAGGCAGCTAAATTTGACGCAAAGGGCATCGGAGATGGTGGACATGAAATAGGTCAGCGTCAATGGGAATGGAAAGGAGAGAACTGCTGTGGAAGGTGGAATGTAGGCATCTGATTGTGTGAGCTGGAGGTGCATGCAGCGAAGAGTCCCAGATATGCTGGGATTTATAGCACAAATGTTTTACAGCTGAACCTATTCAATCCCTGTATTTAGTACATTGGGACATAGTGCTCCTTCCCAGAAATGACCACTTCTAACCTCAAACTGGGCTTCCCTGGTGGCTCAGATGGTAAAGAATCCGCCTGCTATACAGGAGACCTGAATTCGATTCCTGGGTTAGGAAGATCGCCTGGAGAAAGAAGGGAATGGTAACCCACTCCAGTACTCTTGCCTGGAGAATCCCATGGACAGAGGAGCCTGGCAGATTACAGTTCATGGTATCTCAAAGAGTCATATATGACTGAATGACTAACACTTTTTCAACCACAAATCATGATGTATATATATATCACATATTATTTATAGTAACATATACTCATATATCATATTTATATAGCATATATAATGTATAATATAATATATATTACTTATAGTAACATATACAGTATACATATTATAATTATATAACAATGCTATGTGTATTATTTACATCAAATCTGTTTGCTTTTATTATAGTTCTGTGATCACCCAGTTTAAATGTGAAGTTGAGGTCCATTCATTCTTCCTTTCTTTCGGCAAACCTTTATTGAGTGCCCTCTATATCCCAGGGTCTGATCCCTGTCCCCCCAAGGCTGGTCAAGCCCACATACTGGGTCTGCCCTTAAGACAGACTGGAGGTTAGTTCTGACCTCAGAGTCAAAAAATAAACATTGGATTTAAAGAAATCAAACAAAGAGAGTGACAGAAAACTGAGAAGACTGTTCCCTGTTCCTCTGCCTCCTGTTGCATTCGCCAAAGATACGTATGCGGGGACAGAGTTCGTCTCAACCGCGTGCATCTTGTACGGGGCTGGGCACTCAAATCTGGTTCAGGAAATGTGAAGGAGAGTAAGAGTGGCCCATTAACTTCCAGAGGACAAGGCCTCAAACCAATAAAGAGTGGTTCCTATTTTTCTGTACAGTGACCTCCTTTCCAAAGCGGGGCCCTCATTAACCTAACAGCTGTCCTAATGTGGCTTTAACCCGGTGACTCTTTACATTCCTTATGGCTTCATTAGTTCCCTTGAGACGCATCATGTCTTGCACCACAGCTATGATCTACAGCCTAACAAATTCCCTACAACACCCGGCATATGGATCTTTTACTTAACCCAGCAGGAAAAAGAAGGGAGTAGTTAATCACTGATTAAAATGCCAGAACAAAATCCTTTAGTTTTTAGAAGGATCTGGGAAAGCAGTCGCAGCGTCAGTTCGGTTTGAGTGATAGCCAGAGAGTGTGTTAGTTTAATTTGGGGCACCTGGGAAAACCCAACACCAAACCAAAAAAAAAAAAAAACAAAACCCCAAATGTGTCTACATTCCCCTCCCTCCATGGAGGAAAATTTCTAAGCTCTTGTGGATAAAGATGAGATTAAAGCTTTAATAATTTAGACCTTTGTCAGTATTTGAAAAAATTTATTTGGACAGTAACTATGTTATATTTATCAGGGCTAAATCTGAGTACACAGTCTAAGAAGTTCAGCAAAGACTTAATTCGCTTAATTCACCTTCCTGGTAGCTGTTATTAGGAAAATAATGGCAAAAACTACAATTTTGTAAGGAGTGACTTGCAAACACTTATGATGTGTAAAAGTTTTAGTAAATATTCCATCCAAGAACTGTATGAAGCAGGCAAGTATTCTTGACACCCAGGTAATGGAAGACAGGAAAGAAAGCTGCTTGTGGAAAAAAGGATTTTGCTAGGAGTCAGAAGATGTGGGTTTTGGTCTCAGCTTTAACCAAAGGGTTTTGTCGAGCAAGTCACTTAATTTTGCTCTAATCCTACTGGACTTCATTTTTTCTAATTTTATTTTTAAAATATGGGATTTAGATCAGATGGTCTTAGGCTGAGTCCATGAATGACTGGGATAATCATGAATGGACTTCAGGAGACCTGGGAAACTTGACATTTGAACACAGATGTTCTGCTTTTGCCTCTGTGTGTGTGCACACAAGTGTTAGATAGGGAGAGGGATGCTAGCTGTCCTCATATTCTTACAAATCACCACCCCTTGCTCATTTCATTATTTGAAACCCTCTAAGATGCATGATCTCTCAGGATGCTTCTTGCATTGATAATTTGGGATTCTCATGGAAGCCCAATGATGGTTTAAAACGATCTAACAGATCTTTGTAGTTCAGGAGGTATGGAATATTTGACCCTGAAGTCCATAATGAAGCAAAAATGTGGTCATCCTACCAATCTCTGCCACAGTTTGCTGTTGTGATGTATAAAGTTGTGTATGCCCTCATGTGTGATATTCACAGGAAGATGGCATTTCTTCTTGTCAGCCTGGCCCGTCCTCTCTCCATCCTGCTCTTCATTCACACAGTGGTCTAGGCTGGGTAGCAGCCGTGGTAGGAGGGCTAGGCAAGTGGAGTGAGTAAGAAGTTCCAGGGAACAAGCAGCTTGTTTTGAATTTACCTACTTGGAAAGTACTGTAATTGGCACTTTAGTATCAGCTCTGGTAGTTAATGAAACATTTTGTAATCTTGTTGTAAATTCTAAGGGTTAATGATTACACTCTCTTCCCATTTTTCAAACTGTATTTGAAATAACCCATCTGGAATAAAGTAGGTTAGATTGCTTTTGAGGACCACACCAAAAATGTGAACCGGTAATTTATTGAGAGCAAAATTAGGCTTACACCATGGGACAATTAGCACTAATCCATGAAACTTGGAAGCAATTTGGACCTAAGCCTCCGTTCAAGCCAGACTGGCTTTCAATTATTTGAGGTGTTATTTGGGCACTTTCCTGCTTGCTCAGGGGCATGAAAGGCTTTGGCTATAGACAGAACTCAGAAAACAAAGCAAGGCTTTAATTCTTGGATTTCCCAATGTGACATTTTTACTTAATAACTAACATTTACTGAACATATTGTCTTTTTTTTATAGTATTCTTTTACCAGCTTTGTTTATATTGTCTCATTTAATTGTTTATGTTGTCTCGTTTAATCCTGTGAAGGAGTTTTTTATTTCTCCCATTTAGTAGATGAGAAAGCAGAGGCCCACAGATGTTAAGCAAATTTTTCAAGGTTACAGAGATAGTGAGGGACAGGAAAAGCTGGGATTCAACTCTTGCCTGCGTTGCTCCCATGTGAATGTATTTATAAATTGGTGACTTATTTTATTCAGGAAGAGGAAAATTTATAAAAACCTATTCTTTTGTGATTATCTTTTTTCCCTAGTTATTGTGATATTATAGGGATCTTTCAATCAATTTCAGTTTTGCTTCAAAAAAATCATTGGATGTTATGTTACTCCAGAATGGACCTGAAGATCATTTCCAAAAGCATGAAGAGAGACATACAGGCAGGGAAAGATTGAGGGAGCAGGTGAAATTGAACCAGGCTCAGTTCATCAAATGAAATAAAAACCTGCTGCAAGGGAAGGTTCTGATGTTGTGTGATATTGCACAGGCAATTATAAGCAACTGTGCCTGATAGTAGTTATCCACTGATATATGCCTCCTGCCCCACTTCCTTACTATGCGAAATGTGATATGGAAGGCCAGGTAATGCTGGGGAGAGTGAAATCACACTGAATTAGAGATTGTAAAGTGACATTTAACAGGAAGGTAGTGGACTTTGAGATGGAAAAGACTGAAGGCAAAAGGAGAAGGGGGCAGCAGAGGATGAGATTGTTAGATAGCATCACCAACTCAGTGGACATAAATTTGAGCAAACTCTGGGAGATAGTGAAGGACAGAGGAGCCTGGCAGGCTCCAGTCCATGGAGTCTCAAAGAGTCAGACATGACTTACTGACTGAACAGCAACAGCCACAAGCTGACTTTATAAACTCGTTCTTTCTGCCCTACTGGCTAAGAAATTGGTGGAACACTCATATTCTCCTCTAGAACCTCAAAGGCCAGTTTGTTGCTATTGCTGCTCTTTTCAAAATGAAGAAAAGTTTCTAGTCATTGTGAAAACCGAATCATAAATACCTTCTACCGATTTAGGGACTTCCCTGGTGGCTCAGGTGGTAAAGAATCTCCCTGCGATGCCGGAGACCTAGGTTCGATCCCTGGGTTGGGAAGATCCCCTGGAGAAGGGAATGGCAACCCACTCCAGTATTCTAGCCTGGAGAATTCCATGGACAGAGCACCCTGGTGTGCTATAGTCCATGGGGTTCCAAAGAGTCGGACATGACTGAGCGACTCACACTTTTACTTTCCACCCATTTTAAGTTATTTTATTCAGCCTTATGCACTTACACATGTCATCCAGTAGATTATTCCTTGATTGTCTGTTAGGAATTAGGTGATATAATATTGGAAGAGTTAGGTAGGACTTCTGAGTGCCAGGGGAATGTCTTTCAGTCATAGATTGGGTAATAACAGCACCCCAGAATCATTGTGCTTAAAATGAAGCACTTGGGTACTTAAAGTGAAGGTGATTTCAAGGGCACCTTTTTTCTATTAAAAATAGATGTGTGTTTTATGAGTTTCAAAGCCTAAAGAAGGCAAGGACCATTTCCCAGTTTGCAGCTTCAGTGTATTTTTACTTCAGCACCGCTTCTGGCAGTTTCACTGCTTCTTGGAGATGCAGAGGCTGCCAGGGGCAAGATGATAGAAAGCTCTGGTTAGCTGGCCAGAGACAGGCAGCTCAGTCCTCAAGAAGCCTTTATTCTCTCAGAAATAGCCCTCTGGATTTTTTTAGCCTGAATTTAAACAACATTTAAATTCCTTCCTTTGGGAAACTCTTAAACCTCCTGTTAAAGGTTTATCAGTAAAGATTTGCTTTCCAACTATTTTTCGTCTTTTACGGTAGTTATAATATATACTGTATGGTAAATATAAGAACTTATAAATCCACCACCTGGTGGGTTTATTACATGTCATCAATGTTTACTTGTATCATTGTGGAAAAATTAAACAAAACCAAACAACCTTGTACCCCTAGCCTTTTGGGTTTAATCTTTTGAAGGGATTTGTAGAAAGTCATGATGTTCCTTCTAACTTATTATCTGAATGAAGACATTTTTGATTTTAAAAAATTGGGTTATGGAGGAGTTAGCATGAACGTAAATCAAAAGTAGGTTGGGATTGATGGAGTAACCAGGCAGAGCCCACCCACTGGATAAATCAAATTTGGTTTACTTATCTAAAGGTTACAGCAGGAAGTTAGCCCAGAGAGATTGGAGACACGCTCTGATAATGTCAGAAGGGCAAGCTTCTGAGATCTTCATAATGAATCTCACCAGTAGGTTTGGTAACAGTAAGTCTGAAGGAGTGAAGTCACATCATAACTTTCGGAAATTCAACTCTCCTCCCTGCCTAGGCAGCTGAAGACGCACTGCACATGGGTTGGTCAAGATAGGTGTGGGGACCCTTCACTTGAGCCAGGTGTGGCTCATTGATCTTGAGGTTATATACTATAAAATATGACCACAGTGCATGGGATGGTACAGTACACTCTGGCATGAATACAACCCTCATTCCTTACCCTCAGCCTCCTCAGGCTAACCAGTTTGTTACAAGCACTCCTGAAAACAGTTTTTTTGCCCTGATGCCTCTGGGAGTCATGGTAACAGACACTTAGACTTCCAGTGAGAAAGCACAATTGATCCAGAACCGAAATTGAATGCTGTTCCTGGTTCTATTATCCCAGGTGGCAATTTATTAAGTTAAGTAAAACTCTAATTCAATTATGTATCAACTTGAGAAAATATTGACTTACCTTCTTTTCCTGTTGGATACTTAAGGAGTATTAAATGTTAATGTTCTGAGGAAGTTCAAACAGCTTTCCTTGCCAGTATGTTGCAGCATGGCTAGAGAAGACCAGACTCCTTTTCAGACAGATGCTTGAGTGAATAGCAAAAGTTTAAGCAAAAAAAAAAAAAGTTTAAGCAGATGCCTTGGTAAAGTATTAAACTGGGCTTTCTTGTTTAAGAAAGGAGGGAGGGAGACATTCCTCTCTCCACTCTTAAAAATTTTGTGACTTGAGGTTTACAATTAAGTTGCTTAAGTGTTAACTTTGTTCTGTGGGGAAATCAAGTCATCTTTTCTCAAGCATGCTGGTCTCTTGTATCATCTCTTCCATCTGGACTGACCACTTTTTGAAATCATATCCAAGCTTAAAATGAGTTGACATTCTGTCTCTCATAAAAAGTTGTCCTGATTCTCTGCATTTCCAAACATGGAAATTCTCCCTTTAGTGAGCAATTAGTTTGGTGCCCTTGACTGCTCTGTGAATTCCTTCAAGACAAGACAGTAAGCTCCTTGAGCTCAGGGATCCTATCTTATCTACTCCTTTTTCCCTCTGATAAAAATATAGGTGCTTACAGCTGTTAGGGAAAGAAATCATAAAACAAACTCATTTTTTAAGGGATCTTCATAGATAAAATGCTTTCTTTTCTTGAAGTACCTCTTCAACATTTATTTCTATTAAGATCAGTATAATGTCTCACATTTTGGAAGAGACGGTAAACAATAGCTCCACTTATCCTTCTGGTCAATTTATAAGACTGTTCAGGAGCTGTGCACATAATGTTCATAGAAATACAGAGACAGTGATAAGACTATGAAATACAAGGGTGAGTGCAGTAGGCAAGGCCACATTAGGACACATGTCATGGAGGGGGCCATTGAGACTCCTGGATCCCCCCTAAAGTGCCGCAGTACATGATGGTGGGAGGGTGCTGATGGCGATGGCACCCCTGCTCAGCCATCCCTCTCCATAGTCACCCCAGAGTTCATGGGGGCTCTTGCCAGACCTCAAAAAGCCCTTGAAGTTCCTCTACTGACCCCTGACATCCAACTCTGCTTTCTCCCCTGACAATGCAAGCCAGAAGGTAGAGGACCCTTGTGTCTATTTGCCCTGTCAGTAAGGGGCCTTTAATCTGTTTTAGCATGAAAAATTCATTAAGAATGTACTACTATTTCATCAGTGAAATTCTCAAATTTTAAATTAAATCCATAGGTCTGGTTTAGCAACCGCCGTGCAAGATGGAGGAAGCAGGCTGGGGCCAATCAACTGATGGCTTTCAACCATCTCATTCCGGGGGGATTCCCTCCCACAGCCATGCCGACCCTGCCAACGTACCAGCTGTCGGAGACCTCTTACCAGCCCACAGCTATTCCACAAGGTATGGAGGAAGGGAGTCAAGGGGTTAAAACGTAATTCCCGGTCTTGTTCCCTGCTGCTTACTTTATATGGTGAAATCTTCTGTGATGTCCCTGTGGCTGTTTGTATGTTTGTTACATTATATCGGGTTGTCCTGAAAGTACCTGTCACCTTTCAGAAGCATAGTTTGTTCTATGACATGTCTGAATCTCTCTAGTTAAACTGTGTTGTAATATAATATTGTTTCAGGATTTTAAAACAAACCCAAACAATGAACCAAAACAATCTCCCAAAATAAGCATGCAATTGGCTTTTCCTTTGTTAAAACCTCTACATTTGTACTCCAGTCTGCAATTAACTGACATTCTGATGGCTCCTCACTGGGGTAGGAATTGAGGGTAGGTAAACTTTGATAAAGTCCTTCTATTTAGAGCATGGGCTTCCCAGGTGGCTCAGTGCTAAAGAATCTGCCTGCCACTCATGAGACATGGGTTCGATTCCTGGGTCAGGAAGATCCCCTGGAGAAGGAAGTGGCAACCCACTCCAGTAGTCTTGCCTGGGAAATCCCATGGACAGAAAAGCCTAGCAGGCTACAGTCCACAGGGTTGCCAAGAGTCAGACACAGTTTAGCAACGGCAACAAAATGTTAGTGTATAGAGGTGAATGGGATAAGTAAGAAGACTAAATCATTTTGGATTACAAAAGATAGCATTGCGGGCATTTGAAACTATACTAACACACTAATGTTTAGGTGTTTTGGAAGTTTATTTGATAAGAAATTTAAGACGCAATTCTTAAGTTGGTTAATCTTTATGTTGATTAGTAACATTCACTACTAGTATAGGTGTGTTCTCACTGTTAATGTGATTTCTGAATTCCCGTCTGGTTAAGTGTTCCTTGGAAGTCTATAAATAAACTATGTACTTGTACATAGGTGTGGAAGAGATGTGGCTCTATTTGTATGTGGTTCTATACTTAGGTATCAAGTTCTGTGCAGTATGAAATTTACATTTATTTGACCAGTGGATATGCTGATGGCTCAGTGACTGCGAGCTTTTGCACTGAACCTTCTCTGCCGGCCTCCAAAGGAGATTTATAGCCGATAACCTCTTCCCTTGCAGCCGTGTCGGACCCCAGCAGCACCGTCCACAGACCTCAGCCGCTTCCTCCGAGCACTGTACACCAAAGCACTCTTCCTTCCAACCCGGACAGCAGCTCGGCCTACTGCCTTCCCAGCACCAGGCATGGATTTTCCAGCTATACAGACAGCTTCGTGCCTCCATCCGGGCCCTCCAACCCCATGAACCCCGCCATTGGCAATGGCCTTTCACCTCAGGTCAGTCCCGTGTTTCCAGACAGACGAGCTGCTGTATACCAGAACCAAATAGTCAATTCCCCGAGGCAGTCATATAATGAATTGCCAAATTTAAACCATAATATATTCTTTATACAAGCCACATGATTTCAGTTTTCTGGTTTCCTTTCTCTCCACCCTTCTTACTTTCTGTATCAAAAGTTAGAGCTTAGACTTAAAATTCAAGCGACTTTTTTCATAATCGGGGAGATTTTCTGTTTATACTTAGTTGTCAAGGTGTCATCTTCACCACATGTAGTAGCTCTGGGTTTTGGCTAAGAAGTTCACACACATTTTTTAAAATGGTATTTGGTCAGCTGATGGCGTTGTGAGCAAGAACGCTTAATAAGAAAACACCACAGCTTTCCTGTAATTTCAGAGAGAAGGTTAACAAGTTGTGTGGAGCCATCTGATGGCTGCAGAACTTTGGGATAAATGAGTTATAAATGCAAAAATTAGGAGAATTACTGCTCCTTGGGAATATATAGAAATTTGAATGTTGTAATTGTTTTTCTAATTTGCATTGGACTATGAGCTTTTCTTGAGAGATTATATTAATAAATTGCCTTGATAATTGCATGTCAGAGGGTTGGTTAAATTTCCTACATGTGGCATCTGTCTGGGGTTGACATTATTAGCAGTTGTTTAAATACAGATCATTTGATTTTATTAGAGAGCACTTGGCCCAGGTGGCGAGGAGAGCTGCCCGCTAAATTTGGAGAAATGTCACGAAGGGGTTGCAATCTATAATTGCAATCAAGAATCTCTTCAGGGCTGAGAGTGAGAGTTTTAACAGCTTTATCTTTTCTTAACCCCCCTTTTCCTCTTGGTGGTTAGAAAAACAGAGAGAAGCTCAGAATGACACAAATGAAAAGTGAAAAGACAATTATACTCAATTACACACTAATCACTGACTATCACCACTGCCTAAACACCAAGAGGGCATTCTAATAGGCAGAAAATGAGATTTTAATGGCACAAAGGGTGGCCAAAAGAAGGACTCATATATCTTTGCCTTCTTCGTTTTCTTCAACTTGTGGTTTGCGTCTTGGGAGTGGAGTTCCTGGGCTCTGCACAACGGTGATAACTCTGAGCAGCTGAAAAGTTCAAAGCCGTTGCAGTTGAAAAGAATGAATAGCAAAGGCAATGAAATAAACATTTCTGCCTAAAGGCAAAAGTTCATAAATCCTTTTTTGTAACAGTAAATGTAATTAAGTTTCATAGATTCCTATAGCACATCCTGGGATAAAAACTAAGAGGTGGCTTTAAACCTCGGCTGCAAAATAGCAACATGAAAACAATAGACGTGCTTGCTACAGGACTTTAATAGACTTAATTTCAAGTACTGGCATTTGTGACTGTGGTTTTGCATGAAAATCATGGACTTATATTAATAGATTCATGTTTAAAGGCCTGCATTTAAAGCATAGAAGCTTCTCCCACAGTTTGCAAGTAACATCAGAAATAGTTGTTGTCTCTGCAGTTTAAAACCTAAGTAGTTTGGGGCCACAGAAAAGTTTTTTATGAACATGATTCAGTTGAGAGTTTGCATAAAAGTAAACTTCAACTCTGTAAGGTAAGACCCAGGATTCTCTTGGCATTTGTCAGTGGTTGAGTATAATAAAAATGACACGAATCTATATTCTCAAGACACCGAAGCTGCTAGTGTCTTGTATTATAGATGTCTACTCTTATATGTTTTAACACATGTATTATACTGTGTTATTTAAGTGGAGGTTCTAGCACTTGACTTTGAAACTGCTAGCCCTTGATTTCAAGAAGACTGGCTGTGATTCTAGAGTTGGCAGTAGGACAGGAAGGATTCCATTATCAAGCAATGGGAAATTCCATAGGCAACTTCTCCTGTGTTTCTTTACAATACTCTTATACATTATGTTAACTCCTTGCTTATTATATTGCGGATATCCAGAGTATTTAGCATTTCTACCATACATTTCCTCTCAAACCACCACTTGTGTTAGTTACTGTAGCATCTCTAGTGAGTTAGAAGAGAGATGAATAATATGAAGTTCCTCCTTATTTCCTTAGGCAAAAATTGGAGAGAAATAGCTAAGTGAATCAACATCTTGCCAGACGTATCTACAAAATAGATGGAATAGGAGCATTAGAAGAATTGGGAATTAGGACTCAGATTTCTATAGCCTTTGAGACTGACCACTTCTCAGGAATGCCTCTATTTAAGCAAAGAGGGATGTGCCCACTGTTTTTGGTTGTTTGTCTTTATTAAAAATATCATAGGGATTTCCCTGACTGTCCAGTGGTTAAGACTACCTTCCAATGCTAGGGGTGTGAGTTTGATCCCTGGCCAGGGAACTAGATCCGCCATGACATGGGGTGTGGCCAAAGGACCAAGAGGGAGGGGATGTGTGTATCCATAGAGCCTGTTCACTTTGTAGTACCGCGGAAACTAACACAACACTGTAATGCAATTATACTCCAATAAAAAAGTTAAAAAAAATTGTAAAGAAAATTGAAGAAAAGAGTCCACATTTAACAGCTGGTTTACCTGTTACATAAAAAGGGTAAAGAATGGTGATGGCCAAGTCTTTTTGCTTATTATAGGTAAGTGCTTATTAATATATTGGATCATATAATATTAAATATGGGGAACTTCCCTGGTGGTGCAATGGTTAAGACTTTGCCTTCCATTGCAGGACGGTGCAGTTTAATCCCTGGTTGCTAAGATCCCACATGCCTCAGGGCCAAAAAATCAAAACAGAAGCAATATTGTAACAAATTCACTAAAAATAGTCTACATTAAAAAAAAAAATCTTAAAGGAGCTAATCCTACAACTACCATTTTTCCTCTTCTCCAACTCTTGCACTTCCTATCTCTGGAAGTCTGATATGCAGACAAATCAACTGAGGCTCAGAGAACTTGTGGCCATAGCGCTGATAGTGAGAGAACTGGGACTAGACAGAATTCCTGGCTCCTCGTCTAGAACCTCATTACTTACAGCACCCAGTTGGGTGGAAGGAAGACAGATTGAAAAAAATAAATAAAGGTGGGGGCTTTATTCATGTTTTAAAATCATTTTATAGAGGCTAGTTTTCTAAACTTTTGGATTGGGGTTAATTAACACTCTTTGCTAATGCATTCTTTACATGTTTTTTTGCTTTATGCATTTTTATTATCAATCTTTTAACTTCCCCTAGTAATTAAAAGTACTTTATGGTTATTGTAGAAAATGGGAAAATTTTTTTTTTTTTTTAAGATTTCCTTCCTCTGGAGTAGGAAAAAATTCCCCTGGGCAGCCACTGCTAATATTTTTGCATTTTGCCTTCCAGCCTTTTTTGGTTGTTATGCTTTAAAAATACATATGTAATTGAGATAGTATGTATGTACTATATCATAAAATATGTAAGCTTCCATTTTGCCTTTCCCTGCCTTTACACTTCATCATAGGTCTTTTCTTATCTATTAATTTAAGTGAAATTGGATCTAAAGTTGTTTGAGTCATTATGATCAGTTCATTGCAGATCTCTTTAGTAGATGCCATTTTATTTGTGCATCTTATTTCATTTTTTTCCTAGTGGCATTGATGTTGATGTATCATTTGCCCTTCAGACTTGGAAATCATGAGTTAGAAGGTGTGTGAACTATTGTAAAGTCAGCTTTCTAGTTAATGGAATTAATAGACACCTTTATGATAAGCAAATTATTCCTTACAGTTTGTGTGTGGGATTTAGTTGATTTTCCTCTGGGGCCTTTAACATAGCTATTTACTCCCTCAAACAAAGGTTCTTTTAAGGCTTGGCATCAGAGCCATGAGTCAAAGGGTGTTTCTTAGATGCTTTCTGTGCTTTTCTCTGAGAAATTCTCAGCTTTAGGAGGGATGGGTGTGAAGCAGTGACTCAGGAAAAGGTCACTGTCCAGTTGGTCAGATGAGAGTGGCAACAGATTGACAAACACGTGTGACATTCTGAATCTCAGAATTCTGATCAAAACTTTTAGAAACATTGATCATATCCTTCTTCAAGTTGCTGAAAGTGCCTGTGCATTACTGAATTGTTGGCAAGTGTATTTGGTTCGGAGGGACTCCATAACTGTATCCCTTTTATTTATGGAAAAGCTGAGGCCAGTGTAACACAGTCAGAGTCACGGGCAGAGGTCAAAGCCAAGTCTGTCTCTCTTCCAGGCTTTTTTGGCTGCGCTGGGTCTTCATTTATGGCACACGGGCTTTCCTAGTTGCGGTGTGTGGGCTTCACTAGTTTCAGTGCGTGGGATTCTCCAGTTGTGGCGTTCAGGCTTCTCTGGTTATGGCTCGCGGTGTTAGTTGCCCCGTGGTGCAGAATATTAGTTCCCTGAACAGTGATCGAACCCACGTCCCCTGCATTGGATGGCAGATTCTTTACCACTGGACTACCAGAGAAGTCTCTCTTCCAGTTTTACTAGTTCTTTAATAAGCCAGATTACACATTTAATTTGCCAAAGAGGCATGATGTTGTAGAAAGTTTTTCATGGGGTCCAGCACTGATATTCAACTTAGTTTTCCAGCGAGGAGAATGGAAAGGCTTCACAGATGAACGACTGGGCTTCACGCTGCCTCCAAAGCTGGATTTGTTAAGACACCTTGAGATTCTCAGTGTTGGGTGGAAGGAGAATAGGATAATTCCCTTGAAATTTTCTTCTGTCTTGGAATTTCTACGTAACCTTTCTAGAAGATGAGGCTTTTATAACAAATGACAAAATACCCCCTGAGAAGAAAACTGTTCAACTCACTGTACCCTGCAGTAGCGCCCTCTTTGGAAAAGTTATGTGATCTTGGTGTGGGGACACCACAGAAAGAAAACAGGGAAATAGAGACCATGTATTTTCCCTCCAAACCCAGCTGATATGTTCCCAGCACCTTCCTGCATGTGCAGTGTAGAAAAAGGAACGCCGACTTGGAATATGGAGCCACGCAAGTACAACCAGATGCTTGAGACGTGAGACTAATTAACATTTGGCCCATGTTCTT